TATATATATATATAATTTTAGATGATATTATATTAAAATATGTAGACCATAGTCATTTATCAGACGTTGCTAAAATTCAAGCAAAGAAAACAGTCGAAGAAATGAAAACTCTTGCTAGAGAAAACAGTTTAACAACTCGTGCCATTCTTGGAGAAGGCTCTTCACAGGTACAATAAAAAAAATATTATAAAAAGGGCTCGGATGTTTGTGCACTTAAAACTATGCATGCATTTATGCACTAAAAAATTATGAAATATGCAATCAAAATATATGCTAAAAACATGTATCCAGGTGAACATTAAATTGGATAAATATAAAAAACATAAACATCCGAGACCTAATTATAAATTAGTATTGTACATTATTGTATAATATTGATAATACATTTTATTTAGTTATCTGCTGCAGTACTACCGAACTCGAGAGCTTTAAAAAGAACAATACAGCGAGTACGCCAAATTAAACAAATTGCTCCAGCCAACCCAAATTCTTTACGTTTCGAAATACCAGATTCATTCAAAAAAACATTATGTGGGGAGCAGTTTCTTTTTTTTTGACAGTGCTGATTCTGGAAATTTTGAAGACCGAATTTTAATTTTTTCGACATGGAAAAGTTTAGAACTTCTAACATATTCGAAACACTGGTTTGCTGACGGTACATTTTCATCATGTCCCAATTTATTTTACCAACTATATACGATACATACAATTCAGTTTTCTAATGTCATACCGTTGGTATATATTTTGTTACCGGACAAAAAAGAAAATACTTATACTACAATTTTCCGTAATTTAAAATTAATAAAACCAGATTTAAATACAACTTCAATTTTGATTGACTTCGAAAAAGCAGTGATGAATTCTATTAAAATCGAATTTCCTCAAACAAAAATTCAAGGCTGTTTTTTTCATTTAAGTCAAGCCTTATGGAGGCATATTCAAGAATATGGTTTACAAACTCAATATTGTAACGACCCTGTATTTGCTCTGGAGTTGAAGAAATTGGCTGCTCTTGCCTTCGTACCAATAGAAAAGGTAATAGAATACTTTGAAGGTCTTTTAGAAAATGAATTTTATACAAAAAATGAAGAGCTGTTGTCGCCACTAATATCTTACTTCGAATGTACTTGGATTGGAAGTTTAGACAGGAGAGGAAAACGAAGATCTCCCTTATTTGCAATTGATCTTTGGAATTGTTTTAATCGTTTGAAAGACGATCTCCCAAGAACCAATAACAATATTGAAGGTTGGCATAATGGGTTTTCTGCTCTTTTAACGTCTTCACATCCTACTATATGGAAATTTATTAATACTTTAAAAAAAGAAGAAAGTATTAATAAGATGACAACCGAACAGCTTATTGCTGGATATGTACCACCAAAAAAATCAAAGTATAAAGATACAGCAAAAAAAATGTTACATATATGCGAAGATTTCGAAAACCAACCACTCAATGATTACTTACAAGGAATAGCTCACAATTTTAATTTAAACAAGTGATTTATTATAACGATTTATATAAATAATGATTTAGATTTAGGAATTTTTATATTTATTATGTACAATTAATTAAGATCAATAAATGTATATTTAGAAATAATGATTTTAATTTGGGAATTAATTATACTTACTAGCAATTAGCTTAGTATATTTTATTAAACATGATGCGCGGAATATCTTGCGCGTAAATGTCGTATGCGCCGACATGTATTGCGCGTAAATGTCGTATACGCTGAATTGTCGTGAGCTAAAATGACTGCGCTAAATTGTCATGGAACCGTCTTTTCAGTTCATTTTTTTTTTAAATTATTCGTTTAAATAGTTTATAGTAATTTAAACTAAAATTATATATAGTCATAACTCATAATTGTATTCATATTTTCTACAAACCTAATATAAAAATAAAATTTAACAAAATCATGTTTTAAGAATATCGTTTATAAAAAATCAACTCATTTTCATCTAGATAAAATTGATTTTATCTATATCTATATCTAGATATATTTTAATTTATCATTATCTATCTCTATCTATATATATTTTGAGTTCATCTATCTTATCTATATCTAGATACAAAAAAATTATCTAAGCACAACACTGGTTTTAACACATTACACATATTACTTGATAATGAGTGATCAAAATGTTGAACTACTAGTATTAATTACTTACATACCTACCCTGATTGTCGAAAAACCAGTACTTCTCCACCGACGAAAAATCGTTGATCAACACCACTTTTACTCGTGTCGGCTACTACCTGGCGACCACCAGCTGCTCAACATTTGGGCCATGCATACGCGTTTAGTGTTATTTTTTAAATAATTAGTAAAAAAAAGTGTTGTATGTATTTTATAATAGAATATTATTACATTATAATACGTAGCATATTATTATAACGCCTTACACGAACATTTATTTGAACTCACTAAGTATACAAAATAGTTTTAGTCTTGGAGAGGGAATATTTGGTGGAGCTTCCGTGTGTTTCATCATTTGTATGCGCGAAACGGCCATGGTCTCTAGGTAAACAGAGTATAATAATACCACTGAATGAAGTATTCAATGCATAATGTTCGACTTGTGTTGGATGTACGAAGCTCGAGTGTACGTTAGCTCTTCTTCGTCTAATGTTGAGCATTGAAACTTAATGTTTTCAGCAGTGTAATAGGGTTAGTGGTTAGCTGGTAAAATGCAAGCGGACTGAGTAGTGGTTCTGAAGTGCAGTCAGTATTGAAAACAACCATAGCACAACGGCCGTCAGTGCCTGCGTCATATGAAACGGATGTCATTGGTATCATCGGGAGAGAGCCTCATCTGAGGTAGTTCTGTATGCTCCAGGCCACCGTCTTATGACAATATTGAGACGGCCCATATTGGTTCTGCATTAAAATCTAACTGTGAACGACAGTGTTTTGGAACTTTCTATTCCACTAGCAGGGTCTGTATATGTTTTTCATGAGCCTTGAGCAGTGTTGGGAATAGATAACTAATAATTTATCTAGATAAAGATAACAGTACTAAATTTTATCTAGATAAAGATAAAAATGAATAAATATTTACCTAGATAAATATCAGATAATTTCATGTTTAATTTTGCAAATATTCAGTGGTACAGGTATTGAAAAGAAAATTACATAATTTTTAAATTTTTAAAAAACAGTGCACTCAGTTTATTTTATAGATAAAACTTCATAAAAATATACGAAAAGTCATTTTCTGACTTAATAAATAGTTAAATAAATAAAGTAACATTATTGAAAAAAATAAAATAAATGTCTCTTTTAAAATTAACACAAAATAATTTATTTTAAATAACCTCCATAAAAATATATGAAGAGGCATTCTCTGACTTGATAAATAATTACAGAAATAAGGTTACATTTGAAAAAAAAATTATGGCTTAAGCCATATTTGATATACAACACAAAATCATATCCAAAGTTCTATTGTTTGACCTGTTACACCTAGGTGTCAAAACTTGGATTGCCTCAACTGGTGCTGAGAATAGAATAGTAGTATTATATTTTAGGAATACCTCTTTAATAATAGGGTATTGATTTAAAATGTCTAAGTCTTTTTTGTTTGAACTTAGGAAAGATATTGCTAGTAGATTTTCATCATTTATAGTTTTACTTCAATTTCGAAGTATTTATCAGATGGTTAGTTGATTCTTCGGTTGATTGCGTACTTGAATCATTGTCTGTTTTTTGGATTTTTGCTGGGCCAGCATTTAGAACTTGTACAAACCATTTCATAATTGAAATAAACAAATAAACGAAATAAAAATAACAAGAAAATCGTAGTTCTTCAACAATTTCTCACGGGTTAGGTTAGGTTATCAAAATAGTAAGACACTGAGTTTGTTGTTAAGTGATAACTGAGGATCCAAAACAAAATTGTTAAATACCATTAGATTCATAGTGGCTGAGCGACCAGGTCTGAACCTATACTACTCTATTAAGATTGAGTTAACAGAAGATTGAATATTCTGCAATACCAGTTTTTCAAAAAGTTTGGATATGTGGCTCAAAATTGAAATTGGTCTATAATTTTTGACATCGTTTTTATCACCCGATTTAAATATAGGAGTGACAGAACTAATCTTAAGGATAGATGGACAAACTCCGCAATCAACGTTCGAGTAATCAGCGTATACGACACTGCCTTGTCGACATCTAGAGACATTATGGTCTCTAACCAATTAAATGAATTGAAGAATTTACTAATTTCTATATAGGGAGCACGGCGGAAGTCAAAATAATTATGGGAACGATGTAATAAAGGGGAAACATTATCCAACTTTACCATAATATCCAGAGCCGGATGGTAAGGGTCGTAAGGCACCGCAGAGGTTACAGCTTTTACAACATAGACTCTTTAATAGTTGAAAAGCACTTAGTCGCAAATACCATCAAAAAAGTTTAGTATGCCATTGTGCTGGAAGAAGTAATAAAAACGCAAATGCTTCAGGGATACATTGTATTCTAGGATTTGAAATAGAGTTGTATAATAGACCAAAGTCGTCATTGGACCATATAACATCTGGAAAATTGAAGTCACCGCAAAATATGAAAACACAGTCTGGGTGTAGGAGAAGAACGGATTGCACAGCGGACATAAAAGCCTCATATGCCGAAATCAGGCAATTAGGAGGAAAGTAAACAGAGCACACTACATAGTTGATATTATTAAAACTAAATTTAACAAAAATGTGCTCGATATTAGTCACTGAAGTACAAATTAGATTAGGTACGACGTCACTGTGGATGGCAATGAGAGCACCACCACCTCTAGAAAAATTACTTGTTAAACTAGATCTATCACATCTATATACAGTATAGCTAATTAGACTTAGCTCACTGTCATAGTAACTATTACAAAGCCATGTTTCGGTGAAACATAATCAAAAACAGCAACATTACATTTTAAAATACTTAATTTGGTTCTTAGGCCACGACAATTTTGGTAATAACCTAAAAGAACGCGGTTACGAGTACATAAATCACTACATAGACAATAATCCTTATTATTATAGTTATTTACGTGTACATCAACAGTAGGAGTAGAGATAGACGAACACGGAGATATTAGTTTTTTGGAGTGAAATTTAGAATCATCTCAAGGGTAAGACGACCCCAAAGCGTTTGACTATTACGCCATAAGGCCAGAATGCAGGCTCGAGGACCTAATCAAGTTTCTCCGCAGGCAAGCGTACATGGAATGAGGAGTATGATGGGTGTCTTGTTACCATTTTATTGATGGTCACTTCTGAGTAACCATTGAATAATTCAGATTCAAGCAAGGTAGACGTAACGCATGGATCAAGTCTCGAGACATAAATATCAGCATGTTTCCGCGCGGGAACTGAAGACAACTTAGAGGACGAGTTTTTATGAAAACCGACAATGAATTATGGTTTTAAGACCGAAGGCTGACTAGTTGTCAATGGGATTCCGGGCTGTCTAAGACGAATATCCGCATCCAGCTTCAGTTGAACAGTAATTATTGGCAAATTTTTGGGTTCAGCATTTGATCTGGAAGCTGAGGTACCACTTGTTGACATATTGAGACGGTTTAATTTGTCATGTAATGTAGAATTGCTAAGTGCCACGGATTTGAGCTCTTCGACAACGGATTGTAGAATGGAGGCTATACTTATTGGATTTTCAGGTGGAATCGTTATCGGTTTAGAAAAAGAATTTTTTTAAAATAGTGACAAGTCTTCACTCAATTTCATACCAACAGGTAAAGATCGCGTAACTATGTAGTCAATGAGCATATTTTTTGTCCACTTATTGAGTTGTGCAGCAAGGAGATCACTATTTTAGGACATTATGCGTTTAGGGTTTATCATTGGTAAAATTGGCAATTAATCAAATATGGCGCCTTGAACAATGGAGATAAGCCAAATAATTTGCACACAAGATAAGTGAATAATAACAATAATTGGTGTCCTTGACACGTGCCGGATTCAATCAGAAATAACAGTCACGGGTCGCAACTGATAATCTTAACCGATAGAAGCCGTATTTTACTGATAAAAATTAGATAAGTTTTAACATACCTTTCCGCTATGAAGTTGAAAGCAAATTACAAAAAAAGAAAAAAACTGACATTGAGTGAACAAATATTAAGCAGACTGACTCAACACCAGTCTATACACGCACTATTTATGAACTTAACAAACTTAAAAAGGAAAAAACGGGTATTTAGATCCAAAGTTACAAAAAAATCGAGCACGGAGCGATTTGAACGATAATACGTACAACATGCAATCCATCACTATGGCAGATGAGACTGAAAAATTAATTGATTTGGTGCACAATTATCCATATTTATATGATACTAAGTCACGGTGAGTGTATTATAAATACTGTAAAAAAATTTGAATTGCCGGGATACTCAATATGCCAAGTAATCATAGTATAGTATTATAATAATATAGTAGTAATATAATATAATATGTGTATTATGTATGATATGTATAATATAAGTAATTTATAAAATGATAGATACTTAAATATTATAATGAAATAAACATGTAAAAATAGATTTTGTTTATTTATTTTTTCGTTTTTATCAGTACTTATATTATATTAAATGAATAGTAATAATATAAAGTAGTATTGTACAAAAACGATTTTGAAATAAAAACATAGTGTTATATACCTAATAATAATTAGTTATTATAGAATATATTATAGTTAAAATAGTTATATTACCTAGTTACATAATTAGTTATTTAATATTGTGATACAATTTTATCATGCAGTTGTTTCAAAGTATTATTATTATTTTTCATACTTATTTTTCATTACGTAAATAATTGAAATAATTTACGAAGTTTTCTCTAACAGAAGTAGCTACAATACCTGATCCCTCTCTTATTCGTTGTGTATTACAAAACACATTAGTAGGTGAAATGGCGTCTTCTTCTTCTGGTTCTTTTTCAATTGTAGAGGTACTTCAGAGATAATTATGTAAGCAACAAGCTGCATTGACAACTTGTTCTGCAGTATCAACTTCTAATTCAATAGGTCTAAAAAAGACTCGCCACTTTTGTGCCAAAATACCAAAGGCATTTTCGACAACACGTAGTGCTCTGCTTAGTAGCTTATTGAATACTTTTTAGCTTCATCTTGTGCAACTACAGCTCTCGGAAAGGAGCGCATTAAAAAAAGTTTCTAGTTTAAAACCTTCGTCACCTACGAAAACACGTGGGACTGGGGTGGTTGTTCCAGGTAAAGGTTTAGGTGGTAAAATAGTTTTACCTTGTATGAACTGGCGATAAAAGGATGAATTCTCAAAAATACTACTGTCACTATCACGGCCATAACTACCAATATCAACAATTAAAAACTTGTAGTTAGGATCTACTATGGCAAGCAGAACTATTGAAAACAATTTTTGTAGCAAAAAAAACTTGACCCACACTTAGGAGGACATTTTATTCTCACGTGTTTTCCGTCTATGCTTCCTATGCAGTTGGGAAAATTCCAAAGCTCTCTAAATCCAATTTCTGAATTTTTTCATACTTCTTCTGTAGGTGTAGCCAGATATAAAGGCTGTAAAACATTCCATAGCTCAACACATACTTATTTAACTATGCTAGAAACAGTAGTACGTCCGACTCGGAAAGAAAAACCTATAGTATGATGTGAATCTCCTGTTGCCAAATATCTGAAATAAATAAATATCAATAAATATCATCTCTTATATTATAAAACTAGTTGCTTGTGAAACTCGCTGTCCTGAAACTCGGGAGCTTGTGAGAGTCGGCGATGCAGACGTCAATGTCGTTGAAATTACTTTTAAAAGTCACTACTGTTGACGTCATGGGTAGTTAAAAAACAAAAATTTAGGAGGTGATAACGATTTTTGATAAGTCTTAGAGATCTCGTTTCGAGCGCGGGAATGTTTGAAATTTCACTTNATTGCCCCTGTGTACAACTATCAAAAACATAGAGGTTACATAGACTACCTTTTTAGTGTTGCGAAGTTAGAAAATAATTCTTATTAACTACTCAGAGATGTATTTGATACGCCAAACGCCAGGTTGAGTGATGTTATTAATTTGAACATCGCACACAACTTCTATTTTATGTAACATTTATAATTACGCATGATAATTGTATTTTAGTCATACAACCTCACATATAAGTTAACTAACGTATATGCGTTATAATAGGGATAACTATATTTATACTATTGTAGTTAATAGTTAGTATATCTACATTGAATAACCTTCCTACGGAAGTGGAAATTTCATATTATTTGCTACAGCTCACAATATAGATTTCCCCCACTATAGTCAAGGTGGCTAGCCCTGAGTACAGAGGTGTAATTAAAGATGGGGGGCGATAGCCATAGATCCATCCTCGAGGATCCTCTAGATCTAGAGCCTTTATAATAGTATATACAAATATACAATTACTACTGTACTTGATAATTTAATGAAAATTAAAAATGTTGTGTAGGAATATAAAAAAGTCTACCCCCCTCCCTTCAGGAAAAATTATCAATTTTATAACTATACCTGAGTGAGCCTCTTACATTTTTTGGCTGAAGTAGAATGCAATTTTTAAACGTTATTGCAAAATAATAATAATTTAAGTTATTAATAATAAATTGGTATATATAGCTAATTAATTAATAATTAATTGCATGTGTACAGTATACTGTGTACACTTCATACCTATTTAAGGGTAAAAACCTATATTATAATCTGTTTCCCCATTAAAAATTGCACCTTTACACACATATATTCTATCTTGTATTTACTATAAATACCTACACTTTATTGCATATCAATACATCCATCATATTAGTTTTTCATTAAAGATTTTACATGAGAATAAAAAAATAAAAAAAAATAGCTTTTTAATAAAAAAAAATGTAATTTTTAATTATCATTATTCATTATGTACACAAGTTATTGAAATAGCTTTTATATTTGAGACATTGATAAACAAACATTTATACTTTATATCACATAAATTAATAAAAAAAGAAATGCTTTGACTAGATAAATCTACATAAAAATCACCAATCAAACTAGAATTAAATGGATCATTAAACATTGGCATTGAGTTAAACTTAACAACTTCTAAAATTATATTTCCGATAGCCTTTCTTATAATTTTTTTTATACAAATAACATTTTCATTTTTTAACATAAAATACATATTTTTATTATTCACAGTACTTATAATCCATTTTTCTAAAACTATTGCTTCATACAATGTATCAGTGGGATCACTATACAACAAGGGGTCATAAGCAATTTCTTTTTTTAAAATCGGGTATTTCACAAAAGGAGCAATATCAATATTTTTATATTCTATTAATCTATTATACACATCTTGAAGAGGAAATCTACAATTTTTTAAAGTACTTTTAATAATTTGTAAACAGTTTTCAAATTTAAAAGCGCTAAATTTGTCTAACGAACCATGAATTTTTACAAATTGAGCTAAATGTATTAAGCCATGTACATTATAAGTTATATATTCCTCTCCGTATAGATTTGAATATTGAGTAACAAATTGTCTTAATAAACTATTGGCTAATTCGTTGTAGGTGATGCATGTTTCATCTGACATAAGTATTCGGATTGAACAGTGTAGCAACATAAAATGTTTATATAATGACTTTTTAAGTTTTCCTTTGAGTACAATCGGGCCAGAATAAAGTAGAAATGAGCGAAATTCTGTGGCTTTCCAGAACTCGAGCTCTTCTAATGAACGAGGTAAACGGCTAAATTCTTTTGGAAAAAATGATTTTAAACGTATAAGATCTGTTGATATCTCATTTGCAATATCATCGTTAATAAAACGTGTAGTTTATTTTCCTTTTTTCCAAAATAATAGTAATCCCTTCATCACACCTAGGCACACACAATGCATATATTCTAACACAACAGCATCTGTTATGTTTAAATCAGGAAACATTTCTAAAGGGCTGATGCCTTTATGATAGTCTTCATCCTTTTTACTACGAAATGATTCATTTGTTCGTAATTTGGAATTTATGCCTGAATATGACATACGATTATTTAAAAAAGTTCCTTCTTCTATACACGAGTTACAACTGTGATACGCATTGTGTACGTTAAGTATAAAGGCCTTAGCGGGACTATCACAAACTACTTGGCTAATATCAAACTATTTTAACTTCGTTTTATCAACTTCCAATAGTGGTTAGAATCAGAACTTCTTTAAGCTGATACAAATTGAATGTCACATGTTCATACAAGGCTGAATGTTTTCATATATAATATCTATTAAATTAATCATAGAAGTTATACATGCGATGTTAGGATTGAGAGATAAAATTATCATCTCCGAGATGTAATGTTGATCGATTTGCACACATGGTGATTAACCAAAACCAAAACCTAAGACTTTTATTATGGTTATTAAAACTGGTGAGCAAAAGCAAAACCATTAATATAAAAACATGGTTTTAACAACCAGAATCGGAATGGTCAGGACAACGGTCGTACGAATTCGTACAAATTCAGTACTAAATGACTGCAAAGGAATTTTTCGGTTAAACGTATTTTTAGTTTGGTGGGGGGGCTGGGGAAACGGCATATTAGGAAAATGCGTTTTTCGGTTGCAAGGGATTTTCAAAAAATTTCGGGAAAGGTCGTACGAATTCGTACAAATTCAGTACTAAATGACTGCAAAGGAGTTTTATATAAATAGTTAGTTTTGGCGACGGGGGGGCTGTAGAAACGTTTCTATAGCCCCCCACTCGAATTCTCGTATATCTTCAAAAAAAAATTCGTACAAATTTAGGTTCTTATCGTACAAATTCGTACAAATTCAGTACAAAATATTGGCCTAAAAAAATTTGGAAAAACACGATTTGGGGGGGCTGGGGAAACGTACGTTTTTTTTGGTGACCCTCTTTTGGTGCAAAGTTTTTTTGCGGTGTGAGCTTTTCTTGCATATAAATTAACCATTATTCTTTTTTCTACATTTAAATTAAATGCACCACAATTCACCCAACAACTGAGTGTTAATTATTCTTCCTGTTTTTTTTTTAAATCCCACATGCTCCGATTTCCAAATCTCGGCTGTGGGTTAGCGACCTACAAAATCCAGTTTCGTCAATGTACGCTTATGTAATTAACTCCACTGTATATTTATTTTTTTATATATTCCTCTAATTTATTATAACTGTCGAAATTAATAATACAACAAGGTTTCAATAAAAAAAAAAAAATCAAATTAATAAATTGATAACTAACTTATATAAACATAAATAAAACAATACCTCATAATATGTAATGTACTCATGTACCTACTATATTGTATAATTTTATTGTCTTTGTGTATTTGAATGTATATTAAAGTATACCATTGGAATAATCTTTTATTTTTTAACAAAATCTACTGAAAAGGCACTGTAATTACCTTTTATATTACCTATGTATACTATATATATTATGCATTTATACATGTTTCTTTTTTTTAAATTCAATAAATTACAAGATATTACTTTGAGTTTTTGGTTTTGTACTCGGGAGTCACAAGATTATCCTATAGAATAGGTACTCAGTGTCACCATTGGTTGCTCATGTTGGTATATAGATATTCAAGTTAAACGTTTATCGACGTCGATCGAATCAGCCTTTATTTACAGCCACTGTTACTATACTATCAAATAATCCCCCAATTATATGTTAATGTATATAAGGGCAAATAAGGTGAGTAGGTCAGTCAATGTTGTTAACTCATAATATAATAGTATATTGGTGTAGTATATTAGTCAGTTAAACTCACAAAATGTGAAATCAGAATTAATATGTTTAGTTAATTGGAGACCTAGCCTAGAAGGTTTTACATTGTAGATCCGGGGTTGTTTTGAATTTGCATTGTAAGAACCAGTGCAGCAAGCGAGTTTGATCCCATCGGGCTAATGTATTATGTCATTTAATAAGCTTTTGCAAATACAATTCTCACTTATAGCTGCCCACCAATGTGTAAGCATACCTGACATGCCGGCCCACATTTGCCGCTGTTCGACATAGTCGGATTGCCTACCTAGATGACTGAGTTGAACGTGAATCGTTTTCCACTGGACGTGACTGACTTGCTAGACATTAAAATAAATTTTTAAGATTGACGATTTTTGACTTTCATAAAAGCACAAGACTGGACAGTCTAAACTATCAAGTCTGTTCAATCACCGATTTCCAAGTACGTGAGAGATTTCCAGACATCGGTTCACCATCAGCGAATAGCACAGAGGCCTTCATTAATCATTACGGACGGAGCGAGATACACCGGGAGACCAATGCAGGCCCATATCGTCGGCTATGCGACGCAGTCGGATGGCTTACTTAGATGTCTGAATTGTATTTTAATCGATTTTCACCTTGACGTGACTGCCTTGCTAGACACACAAATACGGTGCTCCGACTCAAGCTTTTTGTTCCGCGTTTCAAAAACAAAACTGGATGTATCGAGCCAGTTTAACCACTGATTTCTAGAGCCTCCAACTCGACATTCAAACGTTCCCGCCTTCGAAACGGCACCTCCAAAGCACCTTATCACAAATCCTTATCACCTTCTTTGACATTTTCTCGCCTACCTACAAACGCGACTTTTATAGTTTCCAATACTCAGTCTCCGCAATCGGTAGCCACTTTCAGCTGACACGGGGGGTTTCTTTTTGAATTCCCCGTTTTTTCAATTACATCTAGCATGCGACGGATCATGCATCCAATACGCCATACACACATGCCCTATAACTCATAGATTTGCATAGAGCGATGATTGACATTCGATTACAATTATTCACAATTTCTAATTTCTTATACGGCCAACAAAACAGAATCGGGCATACAGCGGGGCACGGTATTACAGCAGACGAGCAAAGACTACTCTACACTCTAAGTCACAGTTTTTGGTACGGTTTAATTTCTTTTCGAATTTCCTGTGAAACGATTTTCACTTGAGCACCTCGAAGGCGCCGGAAGTGGCTTCCACGACGGCCGGAATCGAGACACACGGGCAGCTAACACGGGGGGTCTCCCCCAGCGACGCTCGAAGAGCTAGTATAGCTATAAAAAGGTTTTGTAATTCAACTAAAAACTTATAACCGTAGATACTTTAAATACTATGAATTTACTTTAAATAAAATATAATNACCGTGTTATTCAATTGCCGATTTTCGTGGGTAAAGTGAAATTTCAAACATTCCCGCGCTCGAAACGAGATCTCTAAGACTTATCAAAAATCGTTATCACATCCTAAATTTTTGTTTTTTAACTACCCATGACGTCAACAGGAGTGACTTCTAAAAGTAATTTCAACGACATTGACGTCTACATCGCTAAGTCCCACAAGCCCCCGAGTTTCACGACAGCGAATTTCACAAGCTTGAATGTTAAACGATTTTCACTTGAGGTGACTGACTTGCTAGACACACAAATACGGTGTTCCGACTCAAGCTTTTTGTTCCGCGTTGCAAAAACAAAACTTTATGTATCGAGCCAGTTTAACCGCTGATTTCTAGAGCCTCCAACTCGACATTCAAACGTTCCCACCTTCGAAACGGCACCTCCAAAGCACCTTATCACAAATCCTTATCACCTACTTTGACATTTTCTCGCCTACCTACAAACGCGACTTTTATAATTTCAAATACTCAGTCTCCGCAATCGGTAGCCACTTTCAGCTGACACGGGGGGTTTCTTTTTGAATTCCCCGTTTTTTCAATTACATCTAGCATGCGACGGATCATGCATCCAATACGCCATACACACATGCCCTATAACTCATAGATTTGCATAGAGCGATGATTGACATTCGATTACAATTATTCACAATTTCTAATTTCTTATACGGCCAACAAAACAGAATCGGGCATACAGCGGGGCACGGTATTACAGCAGACGAGCAAAGACTACTCTACACTCAAAGTCACAGTTTTTGGTACGGTTTAATTTCTTTTCGAATTTCCTGTGAAACGATTTTCACTTGAGCACCTCGAAGGCGCCGGAAGTGGCTTCCACGACGGCCGGAATCGAGGCACACGGGCAGCTAACACGGGGGGTCTCCCCCAGCGACGCTCGAAGAGCTAGTATAGCTATAAAAAGGTTTTGTAATTCAACTAAAAACTTATAACCGTAGATACTTTAAATACTATGAATTTACTTTAAATAAAATATAATAATTAAAATATAATTAAGTATTTTATAACATTAAACACCCAAACTGATAATAATTTACTATACAATATTACTATACTATATTATACATTATAGCTGACCCGGCAAACGTTGTTTTGCCATATAAATAATTTCCTAGTAATTTCTAGTGTAGACAAAAAATAGCTTACTTATTGTAAGTATGTATGTATGTTAGAATGTGTACATTGTATGTATGTAAGAATGTGGTATATGCGTGAAATAAGCATGGAGCGCTGTGAACGATGAGGAAATATAAAAATAACAAAAGGCAAACATTATTTTTAAGTTATATTATAATTTATTCCTTTAAATTATATATCATTAATTAAACAATTACGACAGTAACACTATTAAACAATATCAATCTCTTAATGCTATAGCGTGAACAATATTTTTTGTCAACGTTACTACTACACTTGATGCATAAACAATAATGATGGCCGACAACTGTGTAGGGAGTGAGAAAGAAAGGAGACCGGCTTCGTTCTCATCCCTACTCCGTGCTGTTTACTCGGTCAGAAGTGACACCTGTAGACATCTGGCGGGGATAACTAATTAAATGACGATACATCAGTTTTCGACCGGAGAGGAAAAATGATTAAATTACTAAAATGGCTATTA